ACATGGTCTCTCATGAAGCAGTTCATTAAAAACTCAACAACTCGTTCATTGAAGTTCAGTAGTTATGACCGTTTCAATCAATGATTGCTTGAACCTATTTGCTAGTACATTCACTCCGGCGATTAGCCGTGGATATCCTGCAGAAGCTCTTCGACATATATTTAGGGTATTTAGGATAGCCCAACAATAGCACACAGCCAGACGCGCTGCTCAAGTTCACTTCTAGAGATTCACTCGAGAAGACCACTGCCCAAGAATAAGACCTAGTTTCGTGCTCAGTTAATCGATCACAAATCACTTTCATTCAAAAGACGGCATCTGAAACGTATCGCAGTCGATACGTATCAGTTACCGTATCACATTTGGTTTTTGCTGTTGGTGATGCTGCTGCTGCTGCTGCTTTGCACTGCTGTGCGTTATTTCCACCAATTCCGCATCGCCATAAATCGAGCGTTTTGTCTGCGGTGAGGCACGAGGTGGTGGAGCTGGCGATCGGACACTGACCGCCTCTCGAGCCAACTCAACCACGCCTCGTCCCGGTGTTCCATCACGAATACCCCCAATATGTCGAACTGACGCTTCGGATACGGTCGATCGGGTCAGCTGTTCACTCACACTCCGTAACTCTGCCGCTAATCGATGTTTTACATTCTCATCACCTTCCATCCTTCCGATCTCCTCTGGAAAAGATGAACCAAAAATAAAACTTGATGAATTCCTAATAAATACGGGATGCCAGTCTTTCAACCGATCAGCTGTTAACAAACTCTGAATTACAAATACGCAATGGGCTCTATCTTTTCGAAACAAACACTCTCAATAATACCCACAGTGAGCTTTTGTTTTCACGACAAATCAACTGAATTTAGTTACTTCAACACATTTCGTTAATCCATCTCAACAACGCAATGCATCAAAATGAACGGCACTCACGAACTGCATCAAAAAACAATCCCATTTCTGCTCAACGCATAACGATAACGAAAATCGAACCGATGCACTGAAAAATACGCTTTGACGCAGTTCGTGCCACATAATCAACATCGTTCAATCTTGACTGAAGACATGCAACCTGATCTTTCAAAAGATCTACTTCCTGAATAACATTACGTACGAATAAGACTCATTATCAGAATCCACACATTTGGCACATTAATTTGCAACATTTGAAGCTTCCTTTCTGCGAATTCCAGAAATACATTTCCATTTTTTGAATACTCATTTATTTCCGGAAAGCAGGAAACAAAAAAAAGATGGTACTGTAAGATAAGGCAAACAAAAGAGCGAACTGATAAAAACAAAAACAATAAACTTGCAGCTTACCACAGGTGATACATAATATGGCGCATTTGCTGAGGAAGGTCTATGCGGATCTGAAATTTTGAGAAAAGATTATTCTTTTGAAGTCAAATTATTATATGTACATCTGTTTGAGAAAGACTTTCACCTATTGTCTGCGAATGTTTCGGAATTCCCTCAGCATTCGTTTAGAACATCGAAATTT